ATAATCAAAACATTATTGAGAACGGAACTCTGATTGGAAATTATGAAAAAAATCCGTGACTTCCTAATTGTATACATGAAAGGGTTCTATCCTGAAGATCTTTGATGAATGTCGGAAGGATCTGTCGAAGATAGAAACAGTGAAAGCTAGAAATTTATTATTTCGTTACGCCGATATTTTATGAAAATAATGATATAACTAATTATGGGGAATTTTGCGGATATTATTTAGCCAAGCAAACAATTAATAGTTAATGACAGGAGCGAACCCATGCGTCAACGGCCCTGCAGGATTTCATTTGCACCACAGAGAAAAGTATGGAATAAATATTTTTTGTAACTTGGTAAACTTGGTAAACGTGTTTTGGACATTACATTTAAGTAGATACAAATTACTTAGTGTTGAAAAATTAATAACATTTTTCGATCTTACCGACATGTTACAAAAATGTGGACTGGTTATTTAAATAAATCACGAGTGCAATTAGTTTAACATTTCAAGTACTTACTTTTAACAAGTAATTACGTAAGCATATTTTTATCATCACTGTTTTAATTATGAAATCGAGTCTTAAACGAATAATAATAGTAGTAACACATAACATAAGGCCCCTCTATAGTCGTGATAGCTCAGTCCGGGCGCTCGCCTTTAATTCAATATACTCGAGCATCCTGAGTTCGATCCCGGGTACCAGCACCAATGAAATTGTTAATTTTCAGTGTCGAATTATCACGTGCTCAGCGCGAAGGAAAACATCGTGACAAATCCTGCATATTTTCGAAATAATAATAAAAGTGTATGTTGGCCCTGCAGCCGGGATAACCGCCTGCCCATGGACACTTGCAACACCCATAGGGTTGCAGATGCGTTGCCACTTCTTAATGAAGTGAGCTCCGGCTACCTCACTCACCAAACGAAACGCAGAAGTTTAACACTTCTACTTGACGCCGGTCTCCTGTGAAGTCGTGGTACTAACCCGGACGGACCTGCCCATTCGTGCAACGGCAAACACTGTTGCGTGGCCCTACCACCAGATGTTTATTTATAAGTGTTCATGGGCAGGTACCATCGGGTAAATCGCTATTTTAGTTGCCATACCATAAGTGGGTGACTTTGATTTTTGCTTTGACTTTGACCCCGGGAAACAGTTCATTTTATTAAATACAGCAATCAAAATTAACACATTCAGTCGCAATGGAACACGCCCGCTTCTGAACTGCAATTTCATATAGTTAAAAGTTCTCTCAAACAACTGTGCGCATTAAAGCTCAATAAATCAAGGTATAAATCTAGAGCACACGGACTGAAGTTAGCAGTCGGAAAGAAAAAGGAAACGTTTGTTATCGCGCTTAGAATAGTTTCCGATTTAACATTCTTACTTTATAATCCGTGCAATCATTAATGCAAGTGGCTAGGTAAAAATAATTGTAGCTTACCACCGTTATAAGCTTCATTGGGTAGAAAAAGTAGGAGTACAGTAGAAAAATCTCATCGATATCATTATTTCGGCAAAGGAAATGAGGACAAAAGTTTTATTTCGCTTAGCAAAGCTGCTGTGGATATCTGCAACAACTGAGGGCTTTAAATGCATTGACAACCTTTTTAAAAGTAGGCTCCGTTTACCTCACTCATCAGACTAAGCGAGAAGTTATGATACCTTCACTTCACGCCGGTCTTCTGTAAGGCCCTTCCGTGGAAGAACCTCTCCTTCACAAGGCCATTTTTAACCGACATCAAAAAGAGGAGGTTCTCAGTTCGTAAAAAACCGGTTATTTTATAAACGAAAAACAAAACTGACTTCAAATATCTCGCTCTGTATTCATTTTATAATTGATTTTCAGTAGTTACCTGAGTATCTCCGGAGCCCAAGATCCAATGCCAATGAAATTAATATGGGACCACGTGGGAAGCAGCGGTTTTCAAATAAATAAAGAATCATCGACATAGGCTCACCTGGTCATAAGTTATGAGGTAACAAACATAAAAAAAATACAGTCGAATTTAGAACCGCCTCCTCTTATGAAGTCCTTTGAAAAGTAGAAACTGCTGCCTGGCCCTAACTGAGTCAAATGGCCGAGACTATAAATTCTGTAAAGTAATCAATATTTGCACAGGTCGTCACTCCATCTAGTGGGGGTCGTCCTACACTGCGATGGCCAGTACGAGGCTGCCACTCGAGAACCTTTCTTCCCCAACGGTTATCGGTTCTACGAGCGGGAAGTCGATGGATGCAGGTGGCTCAGGATCGTACTTCGTGGCAGTCTGTGGGGGAGGCCTATGTTCAGCAGTGGACTCAAACAGGCTGAAATGATGATGATGATGAATCAATATTTCTAAAGTTTAAAATTAATATGAATCTTGATAAAATCCCTTAATTATAACGGATTTTATCAAGATTATATTTAATAATAACAATAGATGCGCCAAGCATTGCTTCAAATGCTAAATAACAAAGTAGAAAGAAGGTGCTAAGATTTTCGTGCTGCTGCTGCTGCTGTGGCTATCAGCCGTTTATCTCAGTGGCTAGAGCGTCAGGCCGCGAATGTCGAAGACGTGGGTTCGATTCTCACAGCGGCGACAATCTTTTCGTACTTTTTCTACATGTTTTATTAAACATAATTATATCATTTTCTTTATATTAACATAATACAAATAATAGTTGCAAGAAATATATAAATTTAAGGTTATAAATGTTGTAATTTCAATATAAGTCGATATGAATTAAGTCCATCTTTGATATAGGTTATCATATCATGCCGTAAGCCATGTTTTCTTACCAAAATATAATGTTTGTAAAAGACTTGTTTCCAGTACATTCAACCTTCACAGACTGCATTAATTTTATCACAGTTAAACAAAAAGATGATAATTGTATCTCAATGTTATGTACATATAGCAACAAAGTAACTTTCTATTTTCGTTACTATTCGAACCGCTTTGAACCAAATTGATAATAATAATTATACTTGTATCATTTAAATATAACTACCAATCGTAAGGAACAAGTGTGACGACTTAATATAGGCCAGTATATTTATAAATTATTTTGTTAAATCGTCGTAATTATATGATAATTATGTAGAAGGTATATAATTTACAGAGTCTTTTATTGAAAGTTATTTAACTATGGGACTGATTACAAATGATCGTTCAAACAATGTTTCCAAACAGGTTTTTTAATGTTATATCTACAAAAAAGAATATGTATTATGTCATGAATTCTAGAAATAGTTTACTTTACCGCGACTCCTTTAAAAGCTAGTGCACTCCATATTTTGTTAATCTTATTTTTTTTTCAAATCAGAATAACACAGTGATTTGAGTAGGTACTTAATAAATCTTTTATATTAATATAAGGAATATAACTCTGTATACAACGTTTTATAAAATAGCATTTCCAGTCTCTTTTTTCATCTACTTTGTCAGCATAATAGCCTATGGCTTGCTTTGTGAGAACACAGGGCCGATGTAAATGTCATTTTAACATTGCAAAGTAAGTTTTTACGAAGCTCTGGAAGAGTCGCCTTTGTTTTTGTACAATTATGATTCTTATACGTCTTTCTTTCCAACTCAAATTCAAATTAAAAAATTTTATTTTATACCTTCAATTGACCAAACTCTAGTACTCGTAGATTCCGGTCTGGTTTTAAAGTAACTTATTTTGGTGGTGTGGTACTTTTGTCCGCAATTAACATATGCTTCAATTAATTCAAATGTGAGACGAAGTTTTTCGTTGTTTTTTTTTATTGCTATATAAAAACGGATAAATAGAATAAAATAAAATGAAGATATACATGTATCATATGCTGATTTAAAGCACCAAACAAGTGTTCTTTTAAAACAGTAAAGTTTTCAAGTCCTCAAATGAGACATTATAAGTGTAGTAATACTATTAGAGGTTTTTAATTGTCAATAACTTGTTTCATAATGCTTATTCAAAAATATATACGCCTATTCAACAAAGGAAACGTTTTTTTAAATATTAATTTCTTTCACAAAAAACTAATTATTTTAATAAGCAAACAGAAAAGCAGCAAGCTACTTTAACAAAATCCGAATTAAATTACACTTTATTACCGCTGTTTACCGTGTACATCGGAATATTTTTATTTGTACTCGTTTTACGCTTTATGAAATAAAGATAACGTATCTGTCGGGAATAGTCACAGTTACATTGTTAGTCTCTCGGTTAGTCTATGCGAAGCAATCACTGTAGCTACAACTATGATTAGTACACAATTTTCCAACCTGAACTACTCAGCTGTTGAATGACTAGAAAATCGCTTACATCTGTTAATGGTGAGATATATAGTTTGTATTCATATATCCGTTAATATTCATTTACAATTTTGACGTGATTTTTTTTTCAGGTGTTGTGACTTCAAGCGTTATGTTTGTTTTAGAAAACGGAAGTGATAAGAATCTTTTGGGGCTGGAGAAAGAATTTGGTCATGAGGAATCGGTGCTACCAGGAATGTACCGACCCCATTATAGTGAGTATTATTTCCAAATGTTTATCGAGCAATAAAAATATTTGATGGTAAACACTCTATTGTGATGCAGGATCAGTACACAACTCTACAAAAACGTTCAAATACGAGAGAGCGGTACTGAAAAACGGAGAAATAAACGTTCACCACAAGAGCGGCATCAAATGTTTCTCTAACTGCTTCCTTGCTTTAGTTGAAGCGAGGTGGAGATGGACATTAGTTTTCTTTTTCTCGGCGTTCACCAGTAATTGGTTATTATTTGGTACCATATATTGGTGCATTTCATTTATCCACGGGGATTTCGTCGAAACACACCTTCCTAACGACCTCAATAGCACAGACTTCACGCCATGCATCAAAAATATATACGGGTTCACTTCAACGTTCCTGTTCAGCATCGAGATCCACACGACGGTGGCTTACGGCCGCAGATCTATTACGTTAGAATGTCCGCAGACAATAATAGCAATGTGCCTGCAATGTATTGTCAGTTCAATATTTCAATCGGTCATGATTGGAATATTGTTCGCGAAACTGACCAGACCACGTGCTCGAGCGCAGACGATTTTATTTAGCAAATACTCAGTGATAATGATCAGGAACGCGAGATTCTGCCTAATGTTCCGAGTTGGTGACATCAGAAAATCCAGGATATTGAACATCAAACCGACACTGTATGTCCTAAAGTGGAACACAAACTTTGGGAATTTGCAGAGCGCTGAGCAGATTGAATTGAAAGTGGAAATTGCGGAGTGCGAGTCGATTTTCTTTCTGTGGCCCGTGCACATCGTGCATGTGATTGACGCGGATAGTCCGTTTTACAGCATGTCCGCGGCGGATCTGCTGTGCAGCAAAATGGAAATACTGGCAGTATTCGAAGGTATTATTGAGTCGACCGGGCAGCCTGTGCAAGCGCGAGCGAGCTTCACTGAAAGTGACATCTTGTGGGGCCACAGCTTCGTGCCTATGGTCTCGTATAAAGACGACCAACTTAAATTCAACGTCGATTTCTCCAAATTGTCCAATTTAGAACAAGTGGAAACCCCGTTGTGTTCAGCGAATGAATATTACTCTCTAATTTCGTCATTACAAGCTACATGATTCTACCATATTGATATAATTGTGCTTTTCTATACAGACTTCAATATTTGTAATTGATTTCCATTTTTATGCAATATTTTTGAAACTATAACTGACATATGTATATATATCCGACTGCCCTACATAATTGCCGTATCGTACAGTACAGTACTTACAAAAGCGCAATGCGAATAAGCATAACTAAGGTTTCACATTTATTCAAAAATATTTCTAAATCATGCAGGTTTCTGACCATATTATGTTCTCCAACAAATATACTTATGGTAAGTCAAAACTCAAAATTTGCAATTCTCAAATTCATTAATTGCTTGCATTAAGACGATTTGTGATCATCACGAAAAAAAATGGATAGTTTTATCAAATATTTGGCCAAGGTTGTAAAACCGTGAAAATGGCTTACACTTCATTAAAAAGTCCTGAAAATTTTACGAATTTTAAGAGTCTGAACGAAGAATTATAAGTGATTTGTAAAAGTTAGATAGTGCAACTTATCTTATCCTTTAAACGAGCAATTCTTGTATATAAATATATATAATCGGAATCTCGGAAACGGCTCCAGCGATTTTCATGAAATTTAGTATGTGCGTAGATTCGGGGGCGAAAAATCGATCTGGCTTTTATTTTTAGAAAATGTCCTTTTATCCCTGTTTTCAGGGAATGAAAAATATCATTCGAAATGACGGTAAAATTCGCCGAAAAAAAAAATTTTATAATAGCTCTGTCGGTAATCGAGCGGCACCTAAACAGGAGGACATGGTTCGTGTCACAATCATTTACATATTTAATTTTTTTACTTTTTTTTTTCGATTCCATATCATTGCTTTCTATATTTTTTATTTTTTGTTCATTCAGATGATTTTGTTCTTTTTTTCCATTTTTTTTAAAGTTCTTTCTTTTGTGAAAAACACCAGTTCATATTTTCTTATTATTACGTCGGTAAGATAGAAAAATATTATGCATATTTTATTACTCAGTAATTTGTATCTAAATGTAATTTCCAAAATACACGATTTGCAAAAAAAATTAAAATCCGAGCAAAGCTCGGTCCTCCAGGGACTTTTATTTAACGGCTTATTTTTGAAGTGTAATTGACATTTTATAGCCGTGGTTGGAAATATTTTAGCATGTATTATTAACGATATTTTAGTATACGTATGTATTTCATCTGCAGAACATATTTGGTAAATATATTAGATGTCATATTGTCTGCCCTCACTATTATTAAAATAATATTTCTATTATGTAATTATATAGGCAGTTAAGCAATATGCGAGTAGTATTCTGTTTAAATTAATAAAAAACATTTTTAAATTTTATCATCTTGCATAACTTCGTACATTCTCCATAGATGGGCTTGATAACTAAGGCCTCTAGTCCTTTTGCATACGACGCAAATTTCATTTGTTTAAGAAAATCTTCTCAACCCCTGCGAGATCTGTCAACGAATATATTATAAAAATAAGTTTTTCATATTAGATATTTATAATTATGCATATTATGTGCTGGACTGAATTCATTCCCTGAATAGGCATTAACACACTCAAAACTTGACCACGTCTAAGTAACGGTAGTCGGTATACAGCGTGTCTTTACATTCGCGACAATAAATGAACACAGATATAGGGGATAACTTTTTAAAATTGTACTAAACATTTACATTCTTTAAACATCAATATTTACAGGGTTATTAAATTTTCCAAAACAAAGAATTTTAGAACATCCTTACGTATAAAACTGTAACGTAAAGTTCATTTGTAAAGGTCACAAAGCATATGAATCGGTTGAATGAATTTAAAAGAGACAAAACATACTGTTAGAAGGGGAGGCTTGTAATGCAACTCTGTGGCGCGAGCTGTATAGGCTGTTAAAAATTTTGTTTCTTTTTTACTTAATTAGTTTGTTTGAAAAATTTTTTTTTTAATTATGGATTTTGTTTAACGTTAATATTTTTTTATGATTATTAGCAAGTAGCGTTAGACGTGTGTTCATTTATTGTCGCGATGGTAACGACACGCTGTATATACGAATGGAATTTTAATTGAATATACGTTATTTTATTATTTTGATTATCTAGAATCTAGTGCAAACATTTGTATGTTTTTAAATTCATTCACATTAATTAATTATGGTAGATGGTGATGTATTGTATTGTCTTTATCTATTTTTTTTGATTTCTCGCCTTGTAGGTTGTGAACTGAACTGAATGTCGATATTTTCAAATGTAAACAAATTTAAATAGAAATATTTTTAAACATATGGCCTATTTACTTACCTTACCTTAATTAACTTATTATAATTTTGCATACCTTGATGATTGGCCTCAATTAAACTGATGACACCGTGGCGCAGTCGCCAAAGTATCGACTTCGGCGTCGGGGGTCGTGGGTTCGATTCCCACACGGGACAACTATTTGTGTGACCCACAGATAGTTGTTCCGCATTTGGGTGTTCCTCCGCGTGAAATTTATGTTTGTAAAAACGTCCTTACAACACAGGATTATGTTATTCCAAAGTAAGGGCAATGTTAAAAAAAGAGAAAAAAAAATTAAACGTATTAGTTCCTTCATTTCACATTGGTTTTCTGTAAGTAACTCCAAAAAAAGAAAACAATTGCAAAAATTCTCATACGATTTGTTTCCTTACTAGATTGGAAAATTGCAGTGCTGCATTTAAACGAAGAACGAATAATTTATTAATGAATGCTTGGGACTCAAACCCAACGGATGGTTCGTAGCGAAACCGAAAATTTTGTTATATTTAAACAAGATACATAAAGTTGTAAAATTATACTACTTTTGGCCATAGCCCTTCTTCACTGTCTATAAAGTAATTATATTTAGATCATTTTTACCATCATTCTTGATAAGACCTTTTTTTAATTCCTTAACCTGAATTCTGAAACCTAAAATTCTGAAACCTAAAATATATAACATTGTATATCAAGAAAAATAGTTTAAGTCTTAGACAATATTGACTAGAAAAAATATTAAAACAATGACAACATTCGATGACTCCGTAGCGCAAGGTATTGGCTTCGGCGTCGGGGGTCGTGGGTTCGATTCCCACACGGGACGACTATTTGTGCGACCCACAGATAGTTGTTTCGCATCTGGGTGCAATGTTGTCCTCGTGCAATTTATGTTCGTAAAACGTCCTTACAACACAGGATAATGTTATAAAGGGAGGGCAATGTTTTTTAGAGAAAAAAAAAAATGTTTTTGACTTCTTATGGTGATTTCGAAAAAAGTATTTCATCTAACGTGAAACAATGTTTTATTATGTTGAGAAAAAAATACGTGACAAATTACTAAGAAATGAAACTAGGTGAGAGATTTTTTCGTTTTTTATTCACGTCGCAATAACGAATTCACACACTTTTATTTTTTATTGATAATTTTGTTCTGGTAAGTGATATAGTCAAAAAATAAAAAAAAACAGATCATTTTCAAAGTTCTGTTGAAAACGGCTTTTAATTGTTTAATTATAATAAATTAAAATTCATGCCGATTTTAGTTTTACTTATAATTTTGGTCTTATTGATCTGTGTTTTTTTTTATGCGAAAAGTTGTCATACGAGCAGACGGTTCACCTGATGTTAAGTGAATACCGCCGCCCATGGACATCTGCCACACCTGAGGGTTACAGATGCGTTGAAAACCTTTTGAAAATTGGGCTCTGGCTACCTCACTCACCAGACGAAACGCGAAAGTATTTGTCATACTTCCACTTTACGCTGGTCTTCTGTGAGGTCGTGGTACTTGCCCGGACGGTCCTGCCCTTACGTGCAACAGCCAAGGCCGCTGCATGGCCCTACCACCGTAAAATAGTAAGCGTTTCTTTGATTAATTTAGCATTCCTGCTAATTAATCAGAGCTTCATCTGCTGGACTGATTACCAGGGTGTTTTTTATCTTCATTACTTTATTAATTATAATATTTTAAATAATTAAATGAACATACACTTCGGATTACATTACATTAAAGATTTCACGACATGACTGTTTTCCATTATCACTATAGGTGTTCACTCGTACAATTCATACATTCCGTGTCATTGTGGATGCTGAAAAGTGCCCCAATGTAGAGTCCATGAATTCCATACGTCATCCAATGATGCTGGATGCATTTTTTCCTAGTTTACAAGTCAACGAGTTGAAAAATGAAATGAACGGGACACTGCATACGCGTAAGTCATACTTTTCGTCACTAAGCTCGCACGTAAATATAAAACGATATAATATTTATTTAACATCGTTATAGCAGAACGTTCTTTAGAGCGTACCATGCCGTCAATCCCAAGTAACCTACGTGATTGCATTACCCCGCCCAGCGGAGTAAAAACATATTAATTATTAAAGAAACCTATGGACCCGCGCACCTAAGATCGAGATAAAGGCTTAAACCAACACGTTATTTGCGCCACGCGAACCAAAACTTAAGTTGGCAATACTGGGCGAGTAATTTTTCTGTGGCGTGACACCCGCTAGTGTCAAAGTAATGAGTATTTAAACGCTTAATGGAAGTTAATTTTGCGGAAAATGGAGGTTAATTTTTGAAACACGATGGCTTCATAACATAAATCAATTAGGAGAAGGTTCGCTAATATAGAAATAAACTTGCATTTATGTATCTATTTCATTAGTAGAAAATTATATATAAATAAAGATTACTCTTAGCAGTCTATGGGGGTGGCTTATTTTCAGCAGGCTGAAATGAGGATGATGATAAAAGCTTACTCCTTCAACAAATAAATGGTATGATCAAAGGAATTAATTTGATAGGGCAAGGCGACAGTCCTCGCTGTCGCATGAAGCGGCACCTCTGTCAATGTCTGTCGCTAAAAATGAATACTAGCGACCCGCCCCGGCTTCGCACGGGTTCAATGTATTATACGTATAAACCTCCCTCTTGTCTCACTCTATCTAGTAATAAAAACCGCATCAAGATCCGTTGCGTAGTTTTAAAGATCTAAACATACATAGGGACTGATAGACAGCG